TCACACAATTTGATGTTGTGTATAGCATGAAATTTCTATATTGGTATAAATTTTTTGTACTTTTACTGTTAAACTGCAAGTTAAAAGCAAAGGAGCTCCTGGCCTTCAAAACCTAAAATGGCCTTCTGAGGAAAGCCATGTTCAACCTTTGGGTTAAATGAAACTATTGGTTTCTAAATTTCTAATCATTACCATCGATTCTACATGGCCTTCTGAGTAAAGCCATGTTCAACCTTTGGGTTAAATGAAACTATTGGTTTCTAAATTTCTAATCATTACCATCGATTCTACTGCGGCCAGTTTCACTTTTACTATTATTCCTTCATTATCGGAATAGCCAAAATGACAAATATTCAAGAATTAAAAGTTCTTGTCATAGTTTGCGACTTTGAAACCAATAAGTTAGTCCTTCTAGCAGCGGTACACAAGTGAAGAAACAGTCGAAAACAGAATAAGTGCATACCAAATGACAGAATATGAATGGAGAAAAGATTTTTTTTTAAAAAAAATAGCTGGCCTGCACCAACCCAAACTTCTTGTGAGTTCAAAACCATAAATGAGACTCTAAATGAAGAGATAACAATTAAAAGGAGCTGACATGAGATAAAAACCCATTCAGACAACACTGACACAACAAACTGACCCTGATAAACATGGAACTATACTAATAATTAAATGTGTATATATTTAACAAATCAATGAGCCTCAAGGAAAATATAAGATTGTGACCTTTTGATCAACACTCTTGGAAGAGCCCATCATACACAAAACTGCTATTTGGGTTCTCAGGATTACAGAGCAATGTATAAAATCCATAGAAGAAGTAATTAATTTCTTCATTATAAGAGAACTTTAACCAAAATTTTATTGAATGACTACACTAAACCAACCTGCAAACAACGCAACCACCTATTTCAATTTATGGGGCTTTAACAACTCGTGTCAACTGAATTATAATATGTCTTCCCGTATTTGAGGACTCTCCAGCAGATTTTCGTCCAAAACCAAATTTATCTCTACAATATGGGCAGTGCCAGTCACCTTTAGATGCACACTGTAAATCCAAACAAACTGAAAGAAGCCACAAGAGAGAGTGGGAAAAGGGAAGAGTAAAAAATAATTGATAAGTATTTATATAACAGAAGAAAAACAATGAAAATGTATATTTGGTTAAACATAAGTTAGATACGCTTAAATATACTAGCTTATTTTAGTGTAGGGCTTGTCATTTAACGCTTTCAAATTGTAATGTAAAGGTTGTAAATTGGCCTTACCTTGCAATACTTCAATTGAGTATTAAAATAACCGATCAATAACGCAACCAAGAAGAAGCAAGTCATTTATAAATACTTCAAGACCGCTTTTAACAAATTGTGTTTCACTTTCACCACCATTATGTGATTCCCTAAAAAGCACATTGGGCAAGCTTGGTATTACTTATAAGAGTTAGCTTTTGTGTTTATAGCTTTTCAAATTATTAGCTCAAAATAATTAAAACAAGTTGTAATTTTGTTTGGTTCAGATTTTGATAATATGTGAAAAAAGTTGAGCATGGTGGCTAAATAAGTTGTCACATAGTTTTTTTATTGTGCAAATATCCCAAATGCCCTCAAAAGTCTTTTTATACCAGTAAAAACAAAAGATACGAGGCTCTTCTGTCCATACATATTTAATGGTTTTGAAAATTATTTTTTTTTTAAAAACTACAAATTTTAACTTAAAAAAATCTCACTTTTTTTTGTCAAATAAGCTGAAAAAATCAAATAAGTTATAATTTAAAATTGCAACCAAACAACATTAGTCAACTTTTTTTAAGCAAATAAGCTAAAAAAGCTTACTCATAAGTGTTACCAAATGGGGCCATTAGACAAAATGAAACCAAAAAAATACAAGCTTAAAAAGTTGACATGAATTGAGAAAATGTATCCCTTAATGAATGACAATGAACACACAACCAAACCATGACATATCTACACTACAGTTTTTTGTATCAACTGTTCTAGTATCTACATAGGTTATCTTATTCTACTTTTAGTGCGTAGTAGTCACTTCAATGGTGGAATGTAATTCTTAGAACACCAAATAAGAAATAAATTAAATGTCTGTTGTAAAATGTAGAGATGAGAACCACACAATATGAACATCAATCACAACAAGAACAGAGAGAGTACATTCAAGGGAAATACCCACCTGCATGAAAAGCCCGAGGGCATCCATCACAAATAATCAGATCCCCTCCAGCTCCACATGCTGCACACATATCATCACTGCTTCCAGTAGCCAGATTTTGTCCATTAGCCAATGACAGAGATATATTGTGAACCGTCAGTCCACTAGAAGTATAGATGTTCCGGTAGCTGGAGTAAACAATGGAAAATATTAATTCAGCATAGCGTACTCACAATCACCGAACCAATGATAAGTTTTTTTTAAGGCTACTCACGGTTGGCGTCTAGCAGACCATCCAGCAGGAGCCCCAAACTGCGAAGGACTAATCTGCTCACAAAGGAAAATAATCTCATAACTGAGACCTATAAATGTTTGGGGGAAGGGGGGCGAAGAGAAGGGGATCCTAGCACTTTATTCAATAAGTGTTGTGCCAACAATTTACCTCGGTGTGACAACCACTACAAACTATTCCATTTCCTTGTTTGTAGCCCCCAAGTATTCTCTGCAATAAAAATAAAATATATAAAATGAAGAAATTGAGAAGAATATAAACACATCAGCAAAAGAAGAGAGTGCATCAAAAAAACCACCTGTCCTTTGGAATAGTAAGCCAATTCAGCACCATCTAAAAATCCGTTAGGCATGAAAAGTAATCGATGCAGATCATTATCCCTGTAATCAATGTGCAAAATTTCAATAAGCATAAGACTTCAAGCCAAGCCCAAAAAATCCCAGAATTAGAAGCAGACTTCTATAAAAGTACCAAGAAAACTGAGACACCTGACCGGGGAGAAGGAGAATAGAGAGAATAAGTTTTACCTTTTCTTGGTACGACCTTCCGCAGTTTTTTTCTGTTTCAGAACTGAACTAGAATGGTAGAAGCTTGGCCTGCACAAAAGATTGCAAAATCAGTGACAGAGAGAATGATGAATTTCATTTTAGTAATCAATTCTATGAAAAAGAATCTTGACTGCTTCAGAAATATGAATTAACTAATATAGATAAGAAAAAACAAATTGAGAGAGAACGAACTTCTTAGCCACCCCTTTTTTCTTCCCCTCTAGCGCCTCCTTCATGCAGTTTTGCTGTTTAAAATCATAGTTCTGAACATAGGAAGACAAAGTAGGGCAAAGGCTGTCTTCTATCATTTGACCACTGCAGCCAAAAGCTTCAGTTTTAGTGATGTTGTTGGCCGCTGAAATAATAACCTAACAATTCTTTGACCACACAAAGTATGAAAAATCAAAATCAAAATAAATAAATAAACTATAAGGAGCCTTCAAAAAACTATGCTTCATAAAATCCTAAACTGACAGAAACCTGCAACTTGGTGGATCTCTTAAGCGATTATGGCCACAAACCATAATCTCTAACACCATTAAGATCACCACAACCATGCATTAGTAGAATGGCAATGTACTGTCAAAAAGAACATCGTACACTTTTATACTTGCAAAATATATGACATGTATATACAGCATGAGTCTTCTAGCAGTATATGATGACACACATGTACTCAAGTTTCACCTTCCTGTTATTATTTGCACAGCACGAAACAGCTTTATTATGTACACAACACATCATATTGGATAATAAATTTGTAAGCTCGAAATGAAACTTTACATGTTAAACAAGTATTTTGAAAATCTGAAAAGAACTCTACCAGCACAAAAGGCCTAACCTTAAATTCCCAAATACAGGGAACCAAACATTCAAAACCAAATATAAAATATATAAATGAGATAATTCCCAAAAGAAAATATTTCGTGTACCTTGTGGTAGCATGATGCATCCCAGGAACACTGATGTGACGTCTCTTCTCAGTTTTAACCATATGACTGTTTTCTTGGAGACTTTCTGCGGGTAAAAGTGAATGTCAAAATCAATTCAATAACTAAAAAGACGAGCTTTTGCGAAATGAACAGCTTATGCCTAAGGCACTAAAAAGTAAATTAAAAGCTTGGAATCTGCATCACCTTTCCAAGCCTGGAAAGACTCTTCATTGACAGATGAACCGGCAACGTTCTTTACCACTTCATCTAGTACACTATGTGGTGCAGTCTTGAGTTCTTGGATTACACTATATATTGGCTTCCCATTCTCCAAGTATATGTGGTTGCTCGGGTGTCTAGTTTTGCCACCAGCATGCAACTCAAACTCATAGGCACTGAGTATCTGCTTATGCCATTCAATTGTATGGTAAACAAAATTAAATGCCAAAAACAGCCAAATGACCACCAAAAAAATAATAATAATAATTTTGAGATAAAACAACTTACTTTGGAGAAATTGCATAATGAGCAGCCACACAAATATCCACAGCCTTTTATGATTCCAGGAAGCTCTCTCTACAATCATTTGAAACAGAATAAGAGTTCCACATATTTTAAAGATTGAGTGAAATTTTACCAAAATAAAAATGGAACTACAACGTACCTCCTGTGAAGCAGTAACGTACTTCACCCGAGCTCCTTCTAAAATCCCAGTAGATAAAAGCTTTTTAACAGTTGTGGGATAACTGTCTGGCAGAACCTTCTTAGACATTTTCAGTTCCATATTAGGCTGACATAAAAAAACTTTGCTGCTCATCCACAACCTTCCCATATGAACTTATTTCTGTATTCATATCATCTGATGCTGAATGATTCCACTGGGAAATTCCATCAGACCCAGATCCCACTGCTGTTGCAGATAACTGATTATCATAGTCCTCCTTACGCTTGCTGAATTTGAAGGTCATTTTCCTGATACCAGTGGAGCTGAAATCTTTTGGAATCTCGCGTACAAAAAGGGACGTAGACACTGCTCCAGATGTATCATTTTTACTCCTCTTCTTCATTCAGGCTCTCCTCGGAACTTCAATTCCCAGAACAAGTGGACGAATTCTCACTAGAAGCAACTTGGTTATTGCTCACCAACTCGGCCAGTTGACTACTAATAGTCTGAATGCTGCAAGCATTATCTCTTGGAGACAAATTTGGGTTTGAAACTTCTGAGAATATTTCATCGTTTGAAGTTTCCTTAACCTGCTTGTTAGCAGACTCCAATTCAGTATCACTAAAAGAATCCTTTGCCTGCTTCTTCGTGCAACTAGACTCCAATTCATGCTTGTTAGCGCAAGACTCCAATTCAGTATCACTTGAAGCATCCTTTGCCTGCTTCTTTGTGCAACTAGACTCCAATTCATACTTGTTAGCACAAGACTCCAATTCACTATCACTTGAAGCTTCCTTTGCCTGCTTCTTTGTGCAACGCTCAACTTCAGTATCGTCCCCTAACCATTCATGATCACGCTTCGATTCAATTCTCGATGAATTCTCATTTTCCATTCCTCCATCGTCTAACACTGCCACAAAGACTTCCCCTTCACCTTCACCTTCCCCCATCCAAACACACCACCTTTATTTTTTTTCAAATCTACAAGCTATTAGCAGTTCCAGACTTCAGACTCCTCCACAACAGCATTCAAATTGCCGAATCGAACTAAGAAACAAAACCCTAATCCAAATATGATTGAAATTGCACCCACACACACACACTGATTGGATTAGGATTTGAACTAGCCTGAATGTGAAGCTGAAACAAATTTACAATTAAGTGGCACCCTCTATATCATTCAAGCAACAAAACCCTAGCCCAGACACAAGCCAACGCATAACACAAGGAAACAACCAATTCAAACCAATCAACTGCCATCCAAACCTTTTCGAACTCGAATTGGCGGAGAAAAGACACGGAAATCGATTCAACATACCTTTTACGTACCCCTGATTCCAAATTGACGCTGAAAAATCTGAATAAACAAGAACAGTTATTCGAGATCCAAAGGTATGAGCACGAACCACCATTCGAAAAAGCAAACTTCAATATGTACAGATCTGGAATTCACAAAGAAGACTGGGACATGTATATGTATATGTACTGTTGGAGTGAGATGGAATTGAAGGGAATGAAAGTTAGGGTTTTCTTTTCATTTCTAATTGATCTGTAAGAACAGCGAACGCAGAGAGCCAACAAACCAAACTGAAATTTTGGGTTCGCGGTCGACATTGAGCGAGAGAGAGAGAGAAAGAGAGAGAGAGAATTGGCGACCAGATTTGGAAGAGACGGGAAAGTGGGGAGTGGATAAAATTAAATCCTTTGCCTGCTTCTTTGTGCAACGCTCAACTTCAGTATCGTCCCCTAACCATTCATGATCACGCTTCGATTCAATTCTCGATGAATTCTCATTTTCCATTCCTCCATCGTCTAACACTGCCACAAAGACTTCCCCTTCACCTTCACCTTCCCCCATCCAAACACACCACCTTTATTTTTTTTCAAATCCACAAGCTATCAGCAGTTCCAGACTTCAGACTCCTCCACAACAGCATTCAAATTGCCGAATCGAACTAAGAAACAAAACCCTAATCCAAATATGATTGAAATTGCACCCACACACACACACACTGATTGGATTAGGATTTGAACTAGCCTGAATGTGAAGCTGAAACAAATTTACAATTAAGTGGCACCCTATATATCATTCAAGCAACAAAACCCTAGCCCAGACACAAACCAACGTATAACACAAGGAAACAACCAATTCAAACCAATCAACTACCATCCAAACCTTTTCGAACTCGAATTGGCGGAGAAAAGACTCGGAAATCGATTCAACATACCTTTTACGTACCCCTGATTCCAAATTGACGCTGAAAAATCTGAATAAACAAGAACAGTTATTCGAGATCCAAAGGTATGAGCACGAACCACCATTCGAAAAAGCAAACTTCAATATGTACAGATCTGGAATTCACAAAGAAGACTGGGACATGTATATGTATATGTACTGTTGGAGTGAGATGGAATTGAAGGGAATGAAAGTTAGGGTTTTCTTTTCATTTCTAATTGATCTATAAGAACAGCGAACGCAGAGAACCAACAAACCAAACTGAAATTTTGGGTTCGCGGTCGACATTGAGAGAGAGAGAGAGAGAGAGAATTGGCGACCAGATTTGGAAGAAACGGGAAAGTGGGGGAGCGGATAAAATTAAAACAATACATCACTAATTTTGAAACTCTAAAAAGTACACAAATAATATGATACTCAATAAAAAAAAGAAAAGAATATAACATCAAAGTCAAATTATCAAATCATTCCTGGTGAGGCCCACTGCCACATCATTAGTGATAGCACTAATTAGTGCTCTCACTCATTTTCCAAATTAAAAACGAGAAAAATGCTTTGGACCCCACTGGCGGTGGACCCCACTAAAGTCGCGCGTTGTGATTGGACAAAAAAAAATTATTTTATTTTACTTTTATTTTTTTTTGAGTTTCAGTCAGTGGAGGCTCGCCACCTCACAGCATGGTTGTAAAAACAAATGGGACCTTATTGAATACTACTACGGGAAACGGTTTAGATTGAGCCACGTCATCCTCAGAGAGATGAATGATTTAGATTTGTTCATTTAAAAAATAATATTCAAAATACTCACACTGAATACTACTCACTCTTTAGGCGTGTTTGGGCTTTTTTTAGTTAATTTATGATTTTTAGTTTTTAAAAAGTTATTTTGAACTGTTTGGTTAAACTTATTTCAAACTGCTTATGATTCTAGTAACTTGTTTTAAGTCAAAAAAATTGATTCTGAAAAACTACTCACCCTTTGTTTTTTATTGTCAACTCCTGCTGTGGACATGTTAATTTATCGTTATACTCTTAGATTTTTTTATTTTATATTTTTTAAAAAATAAAAAATGACCCAAATGGACTATAGAATATTATTATTATTTTTTATGAGAAATGTAGACAAGTAATGAATAATAAAAAATAAAAAAAGCTACTTCACAGCTTATTTAACAAATACTACTCAGCAACTTAAGGCCCCATTTGTTTTGGGAGATAGAATGGAGGGGATTGATAATGAGGGGATTAATAGTGAGGGGATTGTTAGTGAGGGGATTGATAGTGAGGGGATTAATAGTGAGGGGATTAATAATGAGGAATTGTTAAATTATTTTTATATAAAATAATAAAACAAATAAAAAAATATAAAAAATTAAACATTATATTTTAAAAAAAATTCCCAATATATAAAAAATAAAAAAATTTCTAATCCCCTCACTATTTTCTAATACCATCTCTACCTCCTCCTTACCAATCCCCCTTCCAAGGGTATTAGCAATACCAAGGGACTAATAGTCCCAACCCTTTCTCTGCAAACAAACAGGGACTTTAGTAATACCTTGGTATTACTAGTCCCAATACCCTCCCTATAGCCCAAAACAAACGGGGCCTTATAGTATGAAGAATTAGTTTAGTAGAGTTTTTTTGTGTCAAAGGCCTATTGGTTATAATGTCTTACATGGATGGTTCAATACATGAAGATGAAATGAGAAATTATGGTGCGCACAGTGAGGTTGTGGGAAGAGTTCTTACAGTATGTGCATGCTATTTCATAGAATGTGAAATTAAAAAAATCAAAGTATGAAAGCAACTACACACGAAACACATGACGAAAACGGG